CACACACACACACACACACACACACACACACACACACACACACACACACACACACACACACACACACACACACACACACACACACACCCCAACAACAGAATTTGATTCCACTTATGTTGCAAACCTGAATTAACACCATTCAAATGCATACAAACATCACGAAACGATGAAATCTCCACGTTGAAAAGTTTTACCTGAAAGCAGTGAGGTACTCCACATCACCCATTGGGGGATCTACTCCTCCGGTCCACGCTATGTTCACATTAAAACCAACACCTGCACCTGATCCCACCTGCAGACAGCAGGACAAACAGGGACAGAGCAACAATCATCATCACGTGTCTTTAGCCATTCTGTTTGTAAACTCTGCTGTCTTTGCATTTCTGTCAGTTTCACTTTGTGTCTTTGAGCCTCCAGCTGTCTGTCTGCCTGTTCACCATCAGTTAATCTCTCTCTGTATTCTTGTTGCTTTCTCAGTCATTGGCCTCCTGCATCCTGCAATCAGGTCTTTTCTCTCCTGTGACCATATTTGCCATTTAAACTCAAATAGCCACCGCTTCTCGTTGATTTGCCTCTTGTTCGTTCCTGTGCACTACATTATGCAAGTGGAGATCTTTTTGGCCAGTTTGGTCAGCCAAGGTTGAAACTTTTGGTTTGTCGAATCCTCACACCCACAGAATGACCGGTGGGATTGTGTGATTACCTCCTCTGGAGCGCCGCTGCCAGGAAAGAAGTTTCCGTCGTCGTAGCGATGGAGGGAAATGTAGAGGACGTTGGGGTCACTATAGAAGGCCTGCTGAGTGCCGTTGCCATGGTGAATGTCCTGCAGTGACATATCACAGCAGCGTCAGAGAGAAGGTCAGAGGGAACGTATGGTACAGACGCAGTGGACACACAGGGACGGGTTAGCCTTTCACTCAGATTCATTTCCCTTTTAGTTTAACTTTTTAAAACCTTTTAAAAAAATGTTTTCCCAAAACTCTCAGGGATCGTCAAGATGCTGTTCTGGTAAATGTGAGACATGGCTTTGTTTTCCTTTTGCTCTAACTGTTTTTCACTGGAGTCTTAAAGCGTTAGAAACGGCTTTATAACCATTTCCAGACAGATAGATGGAGAATACTGCAGCAGCTTTCTGAGAGTTAAAGTGGGATAAATAGAAATGACTGTGTGATAACATTGTGTGAGTGAAAGGACCGATGTAGAGGGTATACTGACGCTATAACTGATGTCTTGATTCGGCAGGTCTGCTAGGAATCAGGTCTGGGTGTGGCTAGCAAAACTGAACTGTGATATCCTAATAAAATGTGGTGAATCACAAATAATTCATAATTTAACAAAGATACAATGAGTCCACTAGGCTACATACACAAAAGGTAGGTTTGGATAGCTTTTCTTTATCCTTTAACGCATGAAATCATTATTCAAATAGTGCATTTTGTATTTACTCGAAATGTGGTTTTAGTGTCAGGGTTACAATTAGGTTATGGTTAGGTATTAGGGTTAGGCATTCATTTTTAATGATTAGGGCATAGGTGTCAAACTCTGGCCCGCAGCCTAATTACATTTGGCCCGCGAAGCCATACCACATTACTATCAGAGCTGGCCTGCCAGTATTATACAGTGCATGTACTGCTAATACTACAATTCCCAGAATGCTCTGTTGGTGTTTTGGCGCGTCAGTCATGACAGGACCCATTAGCACCCTCTCCTCTGTTGACCATAGTCATAGCAACCATGCAAATACTGCCATGCTATCTATCCCAAAATGGCAAAAAGAAAGGCAGAAAACAGGAGCTTTCTGGACAGGTGCGAGAATATGATGAAAATCTGATAAATGATAAAATGATAAAATTTAATTCAGAAGGCTGCAAATACATTTTTTATTTAAGAAATAAATTCCACTGATGTGTTATTTAATTGGAATTTTGATTTTGCATGTGTGCAATTTTAAGTTATATATACGTTTATATAGTTATATATATTGTTTAGTATTAAGCTTTGCTTGTTCCATATTCAGATTTTCAGCAAAACATGTTTGAGTCCATAAGAAAAGATTCCTTGTTATATTTGGAGGAAGATTTTTTTTCAATGAATATTAACGTTAGCCCGCGACTTTGATCCAGTTTTGAATTTTGGCCCACTGTGTATTTGAGTTTGACACCCCTGGGTTAGGGTAAGGGGCTAGGGAAACCATTATGTCAATGAAGGTCCTCACTAAGATAACTGAACGGGCTTAAGGCATTTTTGAGATGTGATTTTAGTGTCAGGGTTACAGTTAGGTTAGGTTTAGGTTTAGGCTGACAGCATTATGTCAATCAGATGTCCCCACAAAAATATGAAAACAAGACTGTGTGTGTGTGTCTGCCCTCTCACCCAGTCCACAATGAGGATCTTGCCCACTCCGAGTTTCTGCTGCAGCAGCTTGGCAGTAATGGCGACTGAATTGAAGAAACAAAAGCCCCTGTGCAAACACATTAAAAAAACATATTAGTCAAGCTGGAGATGTAGTGAGAGAAATGTAGTCAGAATTCTGTGACAGGTGTACTGACATAGCCGTGGACTCCTCAGCATGGTGCCCTGGAGGACGAACAACTGCGAAGCCATTCTAGAGAAACAAGCACAGAGTGAGGGGGACGCGCACGCAGCATGAGCTCACACTCATGGTTTGTGGTTGCCTTGGTGAAAGCCTTACTTTTAACTCCCCTGCAGCCACTCTGAAGGCCAGCTCGATGACCGAGCCCACCGCCATGCGCACTGCAGCCGATGAGTGCATCTCATTCCACACTGTGTCGCTGTCCACCTGCAGGGGGCAGCACACAGTTCAGACCAGGGCTAACACTAACACAGGCAGACCAGCTAGAAAGAGAGAATCTCACCCCTATTCCTCCACAGGGAAGAACAGCGTACATCTTCTGGCTAATCGGACCTGGAACGAAAATCAGCCAGAGTTGAGGTTACGGCACAGGAAGTGCTCGATACATTTATCACAAGTAAACAGTAAAGTGGGTACGACACCAACTAAACAGACTGCCACACAGGCAACAGCCAATCACAGGATGGAAGGACCATAACTGGGTAGTCAGAACACACACTCAATCATCACGACATCTGAATGTTATCAACCTTTATGTAATTACAAATGATGTTTCCTGGGTAAAGTATTCAGCTACACACTGCTGGGTCCTGAGCTTATTTACAGTAAGGATGCTGTGACGTTCCCGTCTTATTTTCCTCAGTGGAGTTACTGTGAGGATAATTGATCTGGGTGTCTGATTGATGTATTACTAACAGGAACATTTAAAGAAGCGATAAAACTCATGCTAACTCGTACAGCAAAAGTTAAGCCAGGGCTGCATTTTTCTCCATAATTTACTCTGTAATTTATAATTTACAGATTTACTTTAGTCAAGCTTCAGTGTATAGAAAGTGTAGACAGACAGTCAGACAGACAGACGGGTACCGAGCAGCTTCTTGTGGTCCAGTTTGTGCCGATTGAGCGGACTGGTTCCATACAGCAGGGTGTGGAACTCTGAATGGACGGACTGGATCTCATCCAGAGATGCTTTACGCCCACGAATCCTCTGCTCACACACAGAGAGTAATGTTTGCATACAACAAAATCAACTTTGCAAGAAATGACAGATGTGCTGTACTTGCTTTTACACAGTGTATAAATCAATAAACTGAATTGAACAAATCATTGCAGGCTCTGCCGTCAGTGTGAAGGCCTTATCTGAAACTTAAGAATGTATGTGTACCTCACAGCGGCCCAGCAGGCCCGTCTCCTGCAGTCTGGACCAGATGCTCTGAACTCTCCCAGCATGCTCTGGGTGGATGTGAGCGTTCCCACACACACACTGATGTTTCAGCATCAGACTGTCATATACAAGCCCTGGAGAGGGAGAGGAAAAAGATACACACAGATATTGCAATGAAATAAAAGCCTGTAGTTCAGTGGTATGGACACCGGGTCAACAGCAGCTGTAGTACCCAATGATCACCACAAGATGTCAGGAGCAACTACCAATTACATGTATTTGTGTGCAGCTGCATAAAGTCTGTTTTTATATTCGTAAACTGGAATTTAACACTGGTTGGTCTGTTACGGAGTGGAAAACAAAAGATCCACTTTAAGCATGAAATGAGGCAGAGAACTGGTCACAGCAGCACAATAAGAACACAATCTATGAAGATTTAAGATTTCAAAATTTACAGCCACACGTTTACTCTGAAATAACTGTCAAAGAGAGACGGGTCACCTTAATCACCAGCTTTCATTACCAGGATTAACATGAGCATGCTCTCTGGAGCCTCTGCTTTCAAGCTTGCATTTTTACAAGGCCACATCTGTCAGATCTGCCCTCGTTTCATCCTGGTCAGACCCCATCTCAGGCTAAGCTCATGTTAAAGTGAACCCTTTTCTACATAGAAGAACTGGACTAGGAAAACAACAGCACAAAACTCACGGTTTGAGTCTTTATTTGGTACCAAAGAGTTAAAAGCTAATTTAATACCAGAATAAATCTGTTTAATAACAGACACAGTGTGAGATGAATAAGGATTACTTATGAACTATGATTCAAATCCAAGAATTCAAACTTGGAGCAGAACAGGTCATTACTGTGACGCTCCCTCTCTCTGGCTTTGAAAATGCCAAGAACGCAGCTTACGGTCTGAATAAACTTTATAAGTGTGCCAGCTGCACAGTGTGAGCTGAAGTAAATCTAGGTGAGGCGATTAAAACGTGAAGTGCTCAGACTCCTCTGTGTAACAGTTTAGTTTACAGTACTCATGCAAGGAAGTCTCATATGGAGCTGTTGTCCTGTGGATTCAGAGCATACAGTAAAGAACACCCTGACCTGACCTGCACATTCTCGTCCCAGCACATCAATGCAACATAAAAACAGGAAGAGCTCTTACTGGAAAATAATCAAATATAAAACAAGGTACGAGTGATGGGCTCATGCGCTGTTCATCTGAACCGTCAACCGAGAGAGTCAGCTCCCTGTTGCTAGGCAACAAGTATGGAGGCCTCCAGTAGGCAGACTTGACACCATCACATTGTTATCCAATGGGAAACCAGATGTGCGCACGCACAACCACATAAGAAGCGCAAACACAGAAAACTGACCGGTAGTGAAGAGGTGTTTGATGGGATTAACGGCAGCTGCAGGAGAGGACTGCGCTCTACTCAGGGGTCTGTGGGGCAACGAGGACTGGAACACGCCCAGCTGCTGCAAGGCCTGATGGGACAGGGATGGAGGGAGAGAAGAGATAGAAAGTAATGATTCACTGCAGGAGGATGAATCAGAGATCAGCTCATTCACTGCAGCGATGGAGGATGTGTGTGTTTAAGAGGAGAGCACACTTAAAACCAGTCCTGTCTCTGCCAACGCACGCACACACACACACCACACACACACACACCCTCTCACACACACACACACACACACACACACACACACACACTGAAATCACTATTCAAAATATTGTATCATTCACAAAAATTGTGTTCCGTTTTCATGACATTTGGACTGACTGTCCTGAAATCTAACTGATCACCACCCCCTCATGGTGTGTGTGTGAGATTTCAGGTTTGTGTAACCACTCCCCTCACACACACACACACACTCTGTGGTGTCTATATATAGGGAGTGTTGCTGTGCTCCCTGCTGCGATCTGGGTGACTCATCACGCGTGGGTGGACACTAAAAGACACACACTTGAAGATATACAGACATACAGGACACACATACACACACAGCGGTGAGTCCAGTGGTTGAGTCATCAGCTGGTGATGTCACTGCGGCATCAACAAGTGTGTGTGTGTGTCTGTGCATCATTATCTTGAGGCTGGGTCAGCTTTAAAGGCTTTTGTCTTTCTTCCACTGTTCAACAACGTGCCCCAAACATCCAACTAGAGCTGGGCGATAGAACGATAACGATATGTATCGCGATATAACTTTTACTCGATAGAGAAATTAAACTATCGCGATAGACCTCGCCGCTCTTGTCCTCTTAAAAAAAAAAAAAAAAAAAAAAAGGTCAGCCAATCCAAATTAAGTAGCGCAGAGCCGAACCAATCACAGCCGCAGCGTCACGTCACGTGACTTGTTACGTACAGCACAAGTGCCAAGCCGCACGTGTGTTTGTTTGGGAAGCAGCCAGCGGGTAATGGAGGAAATGAGTGTGCCGACTAGAAAAATCAACCGAGCGTGACCGAAGAGAAAACAGATGATGGTTCCAATGCCGGAGAGATTGTCAAACGGAAGAGCCATAGAAGTTCCGTAGTGTGAAGGTATTTCGGCTATTTCAAGTCTGACAAAAAACAGAGTAGCGTGCACTGTAAATTGTGCCGAAAGCAAGTCTGGAAATACAATAAACTGGTGCATGCGTCACACTGTGCGCCACGTTATTGTTTCGGTGAAATGAATTTCTACAATACTGTTAATTCTACTCTCTGCAGTGTTTAAATGCTTACATATACACACAGTTACTGTCCCTCCACACATACGACTCGGTTCTGCTTCTATGCCCCAGCTTTGTTTACTTTTTCCCACCGAGGCTTCTAGACTTCTGATTGGCCAACATTTCTGCACGGTTAGGAATCTAGCGCCACCTGCTGCTTTGGCATGTTCATAGCAGCGTTTTCCTTCATTTCTGCCTTTATGTGTGGACGGGATTATTTTTTAAAACGAAAACGGAAAATCTCCGTTTTCAAAAATACCCGTGTACGTGTGGACGTAGCCTCAGTCTCTGACTGGAAGCGCTAATTCGTCATTCGGCTTTTGTCAGACTAAAGTAACTGTTAAAACTGTTTGAAAAGCTCAGCTATACAACAAGGAGAGATTGAGAATTTCCTTTTAGTTCTCAGTTTATTTGATATTGACAAAAGTTAGTCAGTTTTGTCTGTTCTTCTGTAAAACAAACTAAGATTTATTTTTAGAATTAATATTTTGTTTCTAAGTGGAATTGACAATTTAGTCTGTTTCGTTTGTTCTATTTTGAAACTTAAACGCTTTAGCGGCTGCCTTTTGTGTAGTTTGCAATATTTGCCTTTATTTATCTGAAAAAGTCTCATGTTCCTTAAGTACATCTACCCTGTTGAACTTATTATGGGAAATAAATATTTAAATAAAAACAAGCTGCTGATTATTTCACATTTTACTTGTGAGCAACGGCACATTTAAATCTTACAAATATAGTTATTTGTCTTATATCGTGATAGATATCGTTATCGCCTGAAATGAAAAAAACATATCGTGATATGAAAAAATCTCATATCGCCCAGCTCTACATCCAACCTGATACTTGAAGTACTGAGCAACAACAGGTCCTGCAGCAGAGGATGTGAACCCCTGCAGAGCCCTGATCTCATCATGCAGTCTCCCAGGAAGCATCCTCCCTCTGATTTTGCATATTACTGTATACGCTGTATGAAAGCAGTGAAGTTGTTCATATTCAAATGCCATCTTGTTTTGTTTTGGTTAAGCATCTGATTTCTTCTGATGACTCATCGAGTACCGGTGCAAAAAGAAATAAATAAAGCTGTTTCTCCACAATCACAGCATCCACTTTAACCCTCCTCTCAGTAAGTACCACCCACAGTGAACACGGGTCAGAGGTGTCATGGGGCTGGAGAGAAAAAGATGACTGAAAAACACAGTGAAGTGTGCAGGTTAAATGCACTTAAACTCAATGACCGCTAGCACGCACGTCACACATGGACCTTTACGGTCGGGTCCAGAAGTATTTAGACAGCAGCACAATTTTCCTACAGAAATGTTGCCTCTGTACTAAATCAATGAAATGAAGCAATCAAGATGTGATTGAAGTGGAAACTTCAGCTTTAATTCAAGAGGCTGACCACAAATCTTGCATTAACCATTTAGGAATTACAGCTATTTTTATACACACTCCCTCCACAGTAACAAGAGCAGTGTACCATAACTGAGTATATCAGAAACCTTTAAACATTCGGAAGCCAAACCAAAAACTGAGAGTTCTCCTTCTGTGGCTTCAGTGTTGTGTGCTCAGGTAAGCTGGTAACCACTGAAGACCTCTCCATGTTTTGCTTTAAGAGCTGCTTCTGTTGGACCATTGCAAGGCTGAACTGTGAAGCACTACCTTATCAGTTTTGCAGCATCTGATTGAAAGTACAGTTTGCACCTGCAGTCACATAATCAATAAAGAAGAGTGGTGCAGTAGTGTCTGTGCCTTTATATAAAATGTATATAAAAGATGGACACAGCCTCTGTGGCACCAGCCACTGGTCTAAGAAACATTAAAAGTGAGGCAATGATGAGCGCTGGATCTGACAGTTAAACCGAGAAATACAACAGTCACTTGTCAATCAATCAATATATCTATGATAATGTATTCAATAAGACCTGAACTGAATGATTGTGACCATAAACTCATCGCAGAGTGTTTACAAAAAAAACGACGGCACTTCTTCAGAGCTGGTGAAGTCGCCCTCTGTTGGCCATTTGATTAAAGTATTTCTGTTGAGGCTTTACTTCTTAGATATGACAGGTACGTCCTTAATGCCGTCTCTACTATGTTGGAGAGGCGATCAGGTGTATGAATAATGATGCTTTCTTGTCCCTGTTCATGCTCTTATCACGTTTCACATTTGTAAGGCTGTTCTAATCTGGCTGTTTGTGCTCGTCACTGCAGCCACTCACTTTGAGGTTAAACTCTACTTACATTCACTAACTGTAGATTTAAATGTTCTCAACTTTACTCAATGTTACGTAAAGCTTTTGTTTACCAGGGAAACAACTCAACTGTGATTATCACCTTTATCTGCCATGTGTAGTCTCCGTGGTCTTTTGGTGTTGCTCAGCTCATCCTTCTGTTTTTGGCCAATTCAACTGTTGATACCAAATGTTGGCATCAGAGTCTGATTGTGGAACGACATATTTAGAATACCAGATGGCAGACTAAATAGGAAAGAATTCATGTAGTTAGCATCACTGATCCACTTTGAGCAAAGTGATCCTTACGTTCAGTCAGAGTCCTTGAACAGTGTTGTGCTCACACAGTTAGACGTCACCACCCAGCACACTGCCAAGTGGTCTGAGCATCACATTGTATAAGTTGGCTCTTCAAGAACGCTTAGCCTCGTCTAAGACGAGAAAAATATGCGTTTGGCAAATTTTGGAAAATTCAATGTGTGTTCTTTTTCCTGAAAGCAGATAAGACACGTTATGCAATGAGCTCAGCCCAAAAGGAATACTCTGAAGTGATACGTAAATGTACTGCAGCTCAGAATTGCTATGTGTGAAAACAGTTGTGCGTGGGTGAAAAACACCTGAAGCCACCTCAGCTTTAGACTGAAGTAAGAGGCCGACCATTAGCTGGGATGAGTCAGATCACTAACGCAAAGCAACCGCTGTAACAGAGCAAACGCAGCGAGATACAAAACAGCAGGAAGGCGATCAGTGATGCATTTGTGTGACTCATCCCTCTGTGGGATGACGCTGTGGAACCAACAAGTCCTGAGTTTTAAGACAGACCGTGGGCTTTGAAGGAGCTCCTGTTGGACACCTTGTCATTATCAGATGAGCCCAAGCACTCACTAACTGACCACACCCATTTACATGAACCAAGCTGATTATCAATGATGCAAAGCTGCACTGTATTCACACACAAACCTGACTGTAACTCCCTCTCTCCTCTTCGTCGCCCTCCCTCAACTGAATGATATCTTCATCCTCTTCCTCTTCTTCCAGCTCACTCTCGGTGCTCTCCCCTTTGATATGCACGCTTCCACACTCCTCCTCACCCTTCACGTGCACGCCGAGACGCTCAGACGAAGGCGTGCTATCATCAGACCCCTCCTTCTGAAGCCTGATTGGATGAGAAGACAGAACAGAGGGAAAAGGTGTGTCCAGGAGCCAGATACACGTGCTCTTTACGAAAACTAGCTTCTGGGTCAGATTTACAAAGCAGGGCAACTGATCGACAACCTGCAACTGAACAACGCACCAACGAGAGTGTAAAGCTATGCGAACAGGCACAGCCGGTTCATTTCAACAATGATGTCGGCATGATCTACCAAGAGCAGCACAAATTAGCAGGCTGGACACAAGTAGGACCTGGTGAGAGAATGAGTCATCTATTGTTGTTGAAATCTGACAAACATAACAAGCTCATGTTTTACAGTGTTTCCTTCCAGGAAAAACAGCAATTCAGAAAAATGTTTTGATTCAAGAGCAAAACCAAAGGAAACTGAACAAGATCCGTTCGGGTCTTAAGACTGAGTCCAGGGCTGTTTCATTTCCACCTTACAAACCTGAACTCTGACAGCTGACTGATGGGATGATTAGGCAGTCAAATATCTACATCAATAATAGAAGCGACACACTTTATGTTGTTATGCAAGTCATAGAAAATTCCTAAAAGCTTAATTGTGATGATGAAGAGTTCTATAGCTCTCTGCAGTTTTCACTCCCAACGTTTGTACAGAAATCTGACTATAAACCAAAAACACTGCACACTGTAAACTTGACTCTCTGTAACAGATCCATGACCTGCATGTGTTTAGCACCAAAGCACTTGGGTTCACAGTTTGAGCCACCCATTATAAGCTTGTTCCGCTAACAACCATCTCAGCTATGCCAGGAACACCAGTTAATATAATGTGTAGAAATAACGGCAGGCAACCACAAACCTAAATCGTGTTGTGAGTCACTTAAATATTTCTCAAAACTCTGAGCTCAGAAGAGGAAACTGTGATGACTACGTCAGCCAACAAGATCAATAAAAATGTAAAAATAGGAGCAGCCACACTCTTCATTTCTACAGATATATAATAATATATACATATATATATATTTATATTGTTATTAACCAGCCTAATAACGAAGCCTAAATAATAACAAACTGAATTCATGTTTTTATACTCATATTTGAGCTAATGGAGTGGACATCTCTGAGAACAGAACATTCACTTTTTATATTCAGGAATTGTATTTGTAATTTCAATTAAAAACAAATAACAGCTTTTCAGCTTCTTTGTAAAGCAACAAATTTGAAACATCACAGATAAAAACAATATTTCTATTTAGCATTAAACAGCCTCCACATACTGCTGGAGGAACCATTACTGAACGAGGATTTTGGCATTGGCATAAACCTCACATCAGGCTGGGGCTAATAAATGTGTTAAGCACTGTGTGTCACACAGAGACACACAAACACAGAAATACTGGCACACCTGTGAAGGCCCACCCCTTCATCCTCCTCCTGCATGTCATTGGTCTCTGTAAGCTCCTCCTCTGTTTCCTCTGGGTGAGTGGGTGGTGGCCTAGGTAAATCTGTCCCCTTTGACAGCATCTACACACACACAAACACACAAAGATTATGTGAGAATCTGCACGTGTGCGCATCTGTGTGTGTGTGTGTGTGTGTGTGTGTGTGTGTGTGTGTGTGTGTGTGTGTGTAATTGTGTCTACCTTGTAATGCTTCTCCAGGAAGTGATGGTGCTGCTGTTGAACCACCAGTTGCTGCAGGGCCTGGGGGGACTGGGGCAAAGGTGCGCTCTGCGTACGAGCCAGCGGCCGGTGGCGAGGCAGCTTGTTGACGGCCCGCATGCCACCCGACACACCTCTCTCTGCCGTAACCAGCGGCGATTGGCTGTACATGGGCACTAGACAGGTCAAGGGTCAGAGAAAAAGGTGATGAGTTAGGCACTGTCGTGAATTTTTGTGTATGTGCTGTGTGCGCGATTGTGTTTGCACCACCTAGCATAGCAGTCTGTTGCCTAGCCTGCTCCAGCAGTAGTACGTGTTGCAGTAACGAGGAATGGGCTGAATGAGAGCTGGGGGGCGGAGTCTCCACATCATGTCCCACACCTGCAAAGAGATATTAAATCATAACTAAAGAATTCAATTTAAACCAACTACAGTCACGATGCACTTTTATGATTAGTGCACAATGACTCACTAAACTGATATGAGCAGCGGTCCAGCTCACCTGCTGGAAGGGAGGACGTGGAGAGAAACTTTCCTGTTAGAGCTCCACCCCCCCGCAGCGACTGGATGGCCTGACGCTCTGCCTCTTGCTGGGCAGACAGCTTCTGGGAGGGCTTTAGAGGGAGTATTACCATAGTTACCACACAGACACAAATTGACAGGCACCTCATGGCAGTTTTTCAGCTGCTCAGCTTTTTGCTTAAATCCTCTCCTTGAACAGGAACTGTTTATTTAACACAGAACTCAGAACAACAAATCTATGAAGTGCTGGATTCCTTCTGATGGTACAGATTTCCTACAGTGGTGCAAACAGAGCTCGGAGCAAACGGAGCAACCAAAACTCATCATGAAAATGTATCCAAAGCCAAGACCAAAGGAGTCTCAACACCGTGTTTGGTTGTCTTAGCATATTTTACCTTTATGAAAATGCAGGAATAACTAGCTTTACACTGCAACACAAGAATAGGACTCTTTATTGTTTCCATGTATTCCATAAGAAGCAGCCTATGGATATCTTTCCACTGGGTTCGTGTAGAAATGGGCAGACATAAAAATCCCACTGGAGAAAGAGCTTTTAACCAAATCATACATTTTAAGGATAGCACTCGCTTACACATGCAAGCTAGAAGTGATCTCTCACCAAAATGAACAGTCATGGAAATAAAAAGGCCTCCTTTGGTTTACTTCTATGTGGAAAACTACACACATATAGAAAAAGAAGAGCCACTGCTTCATGGATCACTTAGTGTAAGTGAGTAAGACTGACTGCTTTGTAACAAAAGTGCACGTCAGCTAGACGAAACTCCTGGGTTTAAAAAGCAAAGCAACAAGGAGGCGACTTCTACGCTCACCACAAGGAGGCCAGTTGGAAAGAAGTCACTGGCAAATGACTGATTGACACCCTCAGTAAACCTTTTCCCAATTCATTCATACAGCTCCATTTAACAGCAACAGCTGGCACAAGGTACTTTATATTGTTAAGTAAAGAACCTGCAGAGGTAAGCAACCCCAGCAATCACACCAATCCCACAACTGTCTATGACTGAGCATTTGGTGACAGTGGGAAGGAAGAACTTCCTTTTAACAGGAAGAAACCTCCACCAGAACCAAGCTCAGAAAAAACAGGATACGCAGATACTTATAGAACTACAGGTTACTGTGTAACAGTGTGTGTGGCGAGTCCATCAGTGTGGGGGTGTATAGTGTGTGTTTGTGTGTTCTTGTGTCGATGGGTACATGCACCGCAGTGACTCACCGTGATATGTGTGTTGGCAGGGAGGCCCAGCGAGATATTCGGCAGGGAGGGTGAGGTGTAAAGACTCAGAGGACTCAATGTCCCATCAGCCCCCAGCGTCTGATGGAGAGACCTCAGCTGCAGAAAAGCAAACACACAAGCAGTTTTAGTGTCCTGCACAGGGAGAACTCAGTTTGTTCAATTTAGCACATACTTGGGCAAAATATAATTAACTGCTTCTTCTTCTTGTTATAGAAGAAGACCATTTCCTGGAAGTTTCTTGGAAGAGCACAAAAACAGGAAACTTCCATGGCATTTGTTCCACACTCGCTCAACTTAAATAAACAGAGGAGTCTTGTCAGCCTTGAAGGCCTTTAAGAATTACTCCATACAGCCTGCTTCAACATGCATTTGATACAGTTGTGCCCAGTATATTATCCATATTCAACACCACCCTTAGAAATATGCCTCTGGAATAAAATGAAAAAATGAAATCTCACTGTCTTTGGCCATGCTTGTCTTTAATCTCTAACTAGAGCCCGACTGATATCTCAGTATCAGTGTTTATAATGCCCAACAAATGAAAACTCAAAAGGTAAAGAGACAGGAAACCATGTTATGAGCACTGATGTTGGATAGTTTGACCACCAGAGGGCGTTCTGCGTACCTGCTTGTAGCCAAACACAACAACCAGTTAATTCAAGTGGCAATGAGTGTAAATGAGTAATCCGAAACATGATTATTTAACTGCTTTGTCATATTATCTTCATAAAGACTTACAACGAAAACATAAAAAATGTCAGGGGAATCATTTCATGTGTCTTTAAAGTCATATACTGAAATAACCAATCAAAACCAACCAACTCTGCTGAGGCTACAACTACGGTTTGTCTGTTAGGTGAACTCTAGATATCATCTTAGTATAGTTTCTTTCTTATCAACAAAACAGCAAAACCTATTGCAGATATGGCACATCTGGTGGTGTACCACAGGGTTCCATTATGGGACCTACGTAATTTGCATCACACACTCTACATGCCTAAAAATAAGGGCACAGGAAAAGTGTATTATTCCACTGAAACCCTTTAACACTAATCACTGTACCTCATTCACGAGTAGTAAAGGCTACATACTTCAAATTCTTCTTGATTTTATTCTCCAGTATCGAGAATCAATACTCTGTCAAATAAAAAAAGAAATTATGTTAAATTATAATTTTACATTTAGATTTGTAGGTTTTGCTTTATTTTCTCCAAAAATAATTGTAGACATTACAGAAGTTTGATCTTGTAGGGGTGGTGCAGATGCCTCACAGCAAAACGATTCTGGGTTTTCTGTGGCCTTTTTTAAATGTCTCTTTTTATTCTGTTATACTATTGTGAAACTGTAATTAGAGGTTCAAGATTTGTTTCTGTAAGCACAAACCACAAGGGTACAAATAAAATCCCCCCTCCAGGGTGCAGGGAGTACTTTAGAGTTTCCCTCCAGTGACTAGCTCTGAACCACTAAAGGTACAGTTAGATATTTATAAGTTAGTATTTTTGCAGCCCTATTTCTGCGTCAAAGTGAGCAATTTTATCTTTGACATTTGACAAACAATAAAAATTCGAGAATGTTTTCTTTTCCAAGATTACAGTGCTAAAATGGTTTATACTTTGGCTGTGACCCAAACAGCATCAAAGTATGCACAGCAAACACAACGTACAGAACAGAAAGCACAACTACACGCAGAAACACTCTGCAGATACAGCAAAGAAGACAACACAGGGGCAAAGCCAGAGTTCCTGCCAAAGTTCAAGGTGATTAAATGCTGCCTTTTGCTGCTCAATCATCACTTTCACACAGCTGCTGCCTGTTACAGTTTCCCCCATATCGTCATTTTTGATTCAGTGCTCCACACTGAACTGCAGGGGGCAAACTCGAGCTTCGTGTCGAGTTTGAAGAACTGAAAATGAAGCCAGCCTGTGTGTGTGTGCACGTGTACCTCAGTCTGTATGTTGGGGACTGATCCAGTATTGCCGTTGGCAATAGCTGTATTGGAACTGTTGGGACTGCTGGGACCTGACCCCGGAGCACTGTTACAGAGAGAGGAAACTGGTGGAGAGACACAGACACAGGAATAAATGAGCAGCAAATTCATTTTAAATTTCTGATTAAAGCAGCTATTCACACTAAACACTCTGCACCTGAGAGCTTATTTGCACTTCTTCTCAGAATGAAAACGTAAGCGTCTCTGCTCACCTGATATCTCTATGGCTCTCTTCTTGAAGGTGCTGATGACAGTTCCGTCCTTCCTGCGGAGGAGAGGGGAGCTCCGCCTCTCTGCCACCTTTTGCTTCAAGCGTGAACGCACCTTCAGGTTAGGCTCAGAGACTGGACGAGTAAAGAGAGAGGGGAGATAAAACTGTTCAGCTCAGAGACATCAGTGTAACGCTGACCATTTCCTGTAAATACTAAGCTGTGCTCGGAACGCAGGTGAAAGAAGAACAGTTATTTTGTCGGCTGCTGATCTGTCTTGTTTCTTTTTCATTATAGGTCACTGGTAACATGCAGTGGTTTGTTTTGGCAGAGGGCTTCAGTGATATTTTAAGTCACCTGGTGACTCGCCAACAAGATTCTATCAGGGCAGACTGAGAAGTCTGCTAATCCTACATTACAATTTGGCTGGGTCGTTTGCTAAACGAGCAGCCACAGTGGAGTTTAAGCTATTTTTGGTGTATGGGTCAAGGTGAGGATAATAAACAGTAGAAGGGAAAACATGAAGTTTTCAGTGGCATAAACAGTATCTGGATCCAGAGGGATGACATGTCACTGCTTACCCGGTGGCATCAGGGCAGCCAATGACAGCTCGGCCTGGCATTTGTTATGCTAAAAACCATTTGTCATTATTGTGAGCCAGGCAGCAGAACCTGCACACAGTATCCCGGGACACACTGGAGTATATTTACAAAGAGTGAGTTTAATCTGGTCTATGTGATTTACACAAGTGCCACTGAAGAGCACCCATGTCATGCACATCTACAAAGTGTTCCTGCCTCTATATTTGGATGACTGGCTAAAAGGAAGAACCCTTTAGGGCTGAAAACATCACGGCATGGATGCTTCTATCTGCAATTGTAGCCAATTTTCCATCTAGCACAAATTTGAACCTCTTAAAATCTGGCAGGTTGCTGGGAGGTTAGGGTACGTGCACATCTACATGGCATAACTGAAACAGAAACCCTGTAAGAGACAAACTGTGAAGCCATGATGCATGAAAGAGAGCATGTGGCTAAAATACAACCTCATGCTAACCCTACACCGAAACTGCTTCACCCTGGTGTTGGCTATGATACAGACTATGATTATAATTCAGTGTAGGAGCATTAGAAGCTGGGTGTATGGACATGTATATGATCATATCACACACACACACACACACACACACACACACACACACACACACACAC